TATATTTTGCTTATGTGACGTCAAATATGATGCTATATGTATATTTCTCTAGGTTTTACGAATTCTGCCCTACAGCATAGCTTTGGTTCTGCAAATGAATCACCATTCTACCTCTGGGGATCATCAACTAGTGGCTTGACCAAAATCTCAGTAATAAGACCTTTTGGAAGGGCCAAAACTAGATGGTCTCAGGTGGGCAAAGTTAATTATATAATTATAATATATATATTTCTTCAGAGCAACATTGTCTTAGGTCATACAAATGAGCATGTATGTTTTTGCCATACATCAAATAGCTTTTATTAGAGATGACACTACACAGAGCATACAAATATAGAGGAATTTAGTTCCTGTTATTTCTGGTTAGGAATTTAGTTAGTTGACTATAATAATTAAGAAAAACAGTCTTCAGTGTAATGCTCAGATTCTTAAAACATTTCGTCAATCTTATCTCTCCTAGATTTTCAGTCCAGAAGTACAAGCAAAATTCAACAAAATAAGTGCTGTGGCAAAAGGATTTCTTACTCGTAGGCTTATGCAGACAGAGAAGCTGAAGCAACTTCGACAAACTGTAAAAGTAAGGTGATTGTTATGACAATTGAGCTGGCAGATTAGTTCAGAACTTAGACATTTCAAACATTTTTTTAGACCCTGTAAAATAGGCAATTTTAGAAGACCAATTATTAATCTTACTCAGATAATTTAAATAACATATAAATGAAGTAGTTTGTGTATTCTGGGTTTTTTTTTTTTTGTCTCACTTTAAAGTGAGTGCTATTTGACTTCTTAATGTTCTCAGCAATTTGTGTTCTTCATAATTTTGGGTTGACTGAGATAAAAAGGAAAGTCCAGTGATCAGGGATCTTTATAAAAACATGGTTTTTGAAGGAACATTTTCTTTTTCAGGATACTATGGAATTTATAAGAAGTTTTCAGTCAGAAGCACCATTAAAGAGAGGAACTGTTTCAGCACAAGATGCCTCTCTTCAAGAAAGAGTGTTAGCCCAGGTAAACGCACATATCCTGAAGGCTGTTGAGAAATGGAAGTGTTATATTTCTCTTTCTTCATTAATTACTGAAAATAGGTTTCAGTTAAAACTTTAACCTTTTACTCTAAACAAGTGTACATAGTATTACTGAACTTTAACCTCATCTTTTCTTTTTCCCCTTCCTTGAACCTAGTTGCGAGCTGCCCTGTATGGCATTCATGACATATTCTTTGTAATGGATGCAGCTGAAAGAATGTCTATTCTACATCATGATCGAGAAGTTCGAAAAGAGAAAATGCTCAGGCAAATGGTATGCTATATGATTTTCTAATGAATGAGGTTCTTCTAGGTTTGGAGTTGTTGTTGTTTATAGCTGCCTGTCAAGTTGGCCCCCAACTCATGGCAGCCCTATGCACAACAGAACAAAACGCTGCTCAGTCCTGCGCCACCCCCATGAACAGTTGCGTATTGGACTGATCCATAGGGTTTTCATTGGCTGATTCTTGGAAGTAGGATAGCCAGGCCTTTCTTCCTAATCTGTCTTAGTCTAGAAGCTCCACTGAGACCTGTTCATGGTAACTATGCACGAGATGCATTGGCCAGAATCGAACACAGGTCTCCCAAACGGAAGGTGAAAATTCTACTACTGAACAACCACTGCCCCATAGCCTTGGGGTAATTAATACTAAATACCATTCTTTATTGACTTCAGCACCCTCCCTGCAATTACTAAGCACAGATAACTCCCAGGTTATCAGCAACATTTAAATCTGTAGAGAGAGTTAAAATAAATTGATATAAGAATTACATATTTTTTCCTGTTGGATTTTGGAGTTGAAGCTTTGACTGTTGCTTGGTTGATTTACAAAAAGCTATCAGCTATAATTGATTGAATTTTGTTGAAGCTATTGTGGATTTTGCCCTTTTTTTGGAAGCCAGAATTAGAAAACAGGCTCCAAATTAATTAGAACTGTATCAGTAAGTATTAAAGGTCTGTGGTTGAATCAATATTCTTCGTTTGGTTGGCAAAAGAAAAAACAAGGAAAATCTGTATTATTTCATTGGCAAAAATAAGATGTTTGTTTGAAACTCAGAGTGCTTCCATTACTATAAAGAAATTTTAAGTTAAAGTTAAAAACACTAGTACAGAGAAGCTTTTCTGTGCAATTTGGGATCATCCTATACTATAATATAGTGGTGGCGCAGTGGTTAAGAGCTACAGCTGCTAACCAAAAGGTTGACAGTTTGAATCCACCAGCCGCTCTTTGGAAACCCTATGGGACAGTTCTACTCTGTCTTATAGGGTCGCTATGAGTCAAAATTGACTCGATGGTAATGGTTTTTTTTGTTTGTTTATTGGTACGACTACAGCTTTATGTTGTTTGTTTGTTTGTTTTAAAGGATAAAATGAAAAGCCCACGAGTGGCTCTTTCAGCTGCCACACAGAAGTCTCTTGATAGGAAGAAGTACATGAAGTAAGTTTTTTCATGTCATGTCACACTAATTTAATTATTCTCAAACCAATTAATTTTAGTCATCTGTTGGTCTATTTGTATATTAAAATTAGAAATAAAGGACAGTTCATTTTTCCACAGCTGAGCTGATAGAAATTTCTTTTTTACATTAAGAGATTAATTAAAGTCAGGTAGTAGAATCAGATTTTATCTTTAAATAAAATTTATTAACTACTAGATTTGTCAATGTTCAATTTGTATAATTGCTAGGCAATAAAAAAATCCTAAAAACAGTTAGTCCTCATACTCCGTGTTTAATTTTATCTCTTAAATATATTCTATTTCTCATATCCAGAAGACTTTATGGAAGGAAAAAAATCAATGGAAAGAATACCCTAATAACTATCTTTTTGCAATTCTTTTTTGAAAGCACCCTAGTACACTTACTACAGGTCTTTAAGTAGTACTCCAACTTTTAAATGATGATTTGTTCCTGTCATCCTGTGTCACACTTGTAAGCATGCTTTTTTTTTTCTCCCTTCTCTAAATATATTGTTTTTTTCCTTATATTGTGTTAGAGCTGCTGAAATGGGAATGCCAAATAAGAAAATTCTCGTTAAACAAAATCCTTCTGAAACAAGGTGAGAAAGATCACTCAGTCTCAGTGAGGGGCTATTTTTTTTTTTTTTCCATAAAAGGAAATTGTATAAATCCCCAGCGTGCTTTTGTTGACTTTGTTCTACTTCACATCAGTAGAACATTCCCTGCTGAGTTGGAGGATTGCAGGCTCAGGATCCATATCAACACCTGGTCCTGTGCCTGGTCACATGTCAGACCAGATGTTCGTGGAGCTTTTCAGGACATGGTATCTCTGGTGGAAATTTGAGCCCCATATGTCCTGAGTTTAGTCCACCACCCAGGGGGGTCTTTGATACTTACTGACCTGTTTTCCACTCTTATAAGAGTGGTATTTTCTTCTCTCAGATGTTTGAGAAGAAAAGTTGACTTTTGTAAAGAATATAAATAAAATATTTAAAAGCACAAGGGTTAATATTTAAGTTGAACATCTCTTTCCTGATACTCCCTCAGGTTTAGGCTCTTGGTGAGCAAAATATAAGTACCATATTAATATGCTGTAATGAATGTGCTTTGCTTTGTGGTAATATAGAGGCCATATCATTGCATAGATGACTTGCACCTCATCCACTGAAAGAATATGAGGGGAAATGGAATTTACCTTTGGAATAATTTTTTATTTGCTTTGTCAACAGAATCCTTCAGCCAAACCAAGGACAGAATGCACCTGTTCACAGGCTACTTAATAGACAAGGGTAAGAGTGCCACACACATTGAATATAAAAATATTCAAATCAAAAATAGCTTTGACAGGAAAAAAATAATTTTAATGCTTTTTATATAAAGAATAAATATTTTTCAAATGTGATTTTTTTTTTTTTTTAATAGCTTTAGGAAGAGCCTTTAAAGTTTTTTCTAGATTTCTTTTCTCTTCAAAGATAAGCCTCTGGGTGTACTGTTGTGTATTATATTTTAGTTTTCATCTTATGTTGGCATGTTTTTGCCATTCACTTCATACCATTTTACTCATTATTTAAACAAAATCCCTATAGTAAGTTCAGTGTCACTAGAGTGATTATCCAGTGAAGTATGAGCCGATGGTTATAATCTGCTGAAGCTAAAGTATAGCTTCCTTACTGTGCACATGCATGAGACTTAAATTCTTTTCAGGCTTATTTATGCACTGAGCAGTTGAGACTGTGGTTGCTTTCTTTGAATGTTGAACATTTAGACCCTAATGCAAGTGACTTATTAATTTTTTTATATTCAATTAGAACCCCTAAGACATCAGTGAAGGGGGTTGTGCAAAATAGACAGAAGTCTTCACAGAGCAGAGTGCCTAACAGAGCGCCTGTTTCAGGTGTGTAGAAAACGATTTCCTGAAACCCATTCAATAGAAAGAAGTGCACAAGCTGCCCCATAACTCAGGCCACACAGTGGGATAAATTGTCTTTCCTTGTCACCATAATTTTGGCATATTCACAGTCATTCCTATTAGTAATAATTCATGTGAGTATTTTGTGGCAGTCAGGAGATCTTAGTAAAACTGTGATTCTAGTCTTGATTTCTATAATAACTTCATGAAAAACTATTTTTTAATCTGAAAAATTTGTAGAATTATCCAGGCTTAATTAAAAAAAACAAAAACCTGTTTATAAATGAGTAAAATATAAAGATCATCTGATGCCTAAGTTGTTCTAAATCTATACATGTCTATTCAGCTTTGGGGAAGTGTTTATCACCAGAAATCTTCATACGTGCATATAAGGGGGTGAAAAATTTCACCCTCTGACCACAAGATCACCTGTGAATATGCCGGGTGTGGGGTGGCGAGGGGGAGTAAGTTTTGCTTTTATTCTCATTCCTTTGCTCAATAAGAAACTTAAGCAAAATGTCTCCTAATGGCCATTATTTGAGGATTATTTAAGGGCTAAATTTTTTAATTTGTATAAAAATTCTGTTTTATGGTGGCAAGAAGACAAATTCAATGTTGAGGTAATCCAAACATCTTAATGTTTTAAGATTTTCTAGGTATGTTTGTTAAGACCCTTTGATATGCTCACTAAAAATTACATAATCCAGTAAAAATACTTTGGGAATGCTTTGCTTTAACTATACCGCTTTCTACACATGTAACAGAAACCTAAATTAATCACCAGGCATTAAAGATTACATCTTTTATCAATTCTAATCTTCCCATTAATATACAATTAGGTATATTTAGAGATTTTATTACTAAGTGATTTCCTCCAAGTTTGGAGGCACCAAACAACCTAAGAAATTTTTTCATGTTAATCACCATTTGGTCACATTAATTCAAAGAGAGAGCAAGATATTGATCATAACTTTGAAATGATTGCTTGCATTTTACACTTATGTAGTGAATATAATTCATAATGTTGCATATACAGGAGACAATGTAAAAGGTCACCTTTTGGAAGTCACTGCGAGTGACAGTTAATGGGGTTGTTTTAAAGGAGATTACATAGTTGATGGTCCAGCTTACTCCGGGGGGCAGTCAGAACCAGCTACTTTGAAAGTTAACCATTTGAAAGAACTCAGACCAAACACGAGATATGTTGCTTGTGAAGTTATGTGGAATTTTCAGACATTCTTAAGTTTTTCTCATCTTAGTGTTAAATATTGCGATAAATCTTAGCTAATTGGCAAATCATTGAAAATTAGTATTGTTTTGTTAATATAGGCAGTCCCCAGGTTACGAACGAGATCTGTTCCTAAGCCTGTCTTTAAGTTGAATTTGTAGGTAAGTCGGAACAGATACATATGGTTCTTATTTAGCATTAGGTAGTCAAATGTTTGTCTTAATATATAGTATATAGTATGTATTTTACCTTTCTATGCATACAAAGGAGCCCTGGTGGCAAAATGGTTAAGAGCTCAGGCAGCTAACCAAAAAGTTAGCAGTTTGAATCCACCAGTTGCTCCTTGGAAACCGTATGGGACAGACTCGACAGCACACAACAACGTGTATAAAATACTTAAGAAACACTTCCAAACCGTGCAGTGTTTTCGTGAGCATCACAAAGGAGTGTGTGCGTTCGTTATTTCCAACCATTGTATTTAACTCAAAATTTTAATATAGTAGGCTTATAGTATAGCAGTCCGTTCGTAACAATAAGTTGTCCAGAAGTCTGATGTTCAGACCCTGGGACTGCCTGCGGTGTCAATTTGCCACTGTGACTACTCTCCATGTTCTTTTCTCATGCATTTCATCTCCACCTTTTGTTACTTGTGAACCTGCCAGCCAAATACCAATACTGATTTTTTTTGTTTGTTTTTTCAGTAATTCTCAACAGTATAAAGGATGAACAGGCAGTCACTGCAATAATAATGTACAATAAAGTTTAGTATTTAGAACTATTGAGGTTTAATTGTACTGCAACATGATTATTAATACAAATAAACTTAACCCTTGAATTAACACATACAATTAATGTGTATCTAAACAAGTACAAAAAATTCTTTCTTATTTTTCTAAAGATTTATTTATATATGAATGCATATTTAGACACTTGAAAGAGACAGAAGAATTTTATACTTTTACATAAACAGAATTTGGGATATGACTGATTAAAGTGCTAACTGTGACTCTTAACAGAGGGCTCCATCAGTTAACTCTTGAAAAGATTAGTGTTTCCTGCTTAGATTTTTAATGGCCTAGATTATGTTTTGAACCAATTTGAAATTGTGCTTTGATTTGATTTAGAGAACAAACCCTTTATTAAGCAATTTATAGAGAGCACATTTTTGTTATGATGATACAATATCATACTCTTAAGTAGACTTCTAAAATGTTAAAGTTTGCTGCAAAGCATTTAAAGTATTTATAGTTACACAAATTAAATTTCAATTTCCAATCTCATATGTTTCAAAATGTATTTACTCATTTGATGTTTTGTGCTTGACTCAAGAGTTTATAGGGAAATTCAGAAACTACTATTAAAAGCAGAGTAGGAGGTGGTGATGCAACATGGTTATGTAGAATATCAAATCAGGTGGATTTGGGTTCTCAGAATCTTTCCTTCTCGCTCTGTTACCTTGGACAAGTGATTTATTCTCTGCCTCCATAGTAACAATTTCTGCCTCAGGATTATTGTGTGTAAGGATTAAATGAGATAATGTATATTGCTTAGCTCACTGCCTGGCATATAGTAAGCAGTCATTAAATGGTATTGTTATAGAAAAACTTAACATTGAGAAATAATGTTAGTTTTGCTTTATTTTTAGGAGTATATGCAGGAAAAATCCAAAGAAAGCGGCCAAATGTTGCGACAATTTAAGAAGACAACATTCACTAGGCTAAAAAAAAGGGGAGGGTTATTATCCATATTATGTTCCCCACCCAAGGCTTTTAGTTTAACCCTGTACTCTATTTACCCAGGCAAACTAATGTCAAAGGGCTGAGCAGTTATCTGGATAACTTGATCAGTCTGGTTAATTACTACCCTACTACCCCCCACATTCCTCTTCATAGTAGATTTGGTGGAGACAAATTAGTGTTAGTGATTGCCTCATCTCTGTGCTTAATCTGTACAAACGTAAGTTAATTTCATGTGTCCAGATGTGTGCAGAGACCCTTTTTGTAAACTTAAAGAACATTTGGTTTCTTTTACAAAATATTGAAAAGGTATGACAAATTACAAATAATTTCTAAACGTAAATTTCATTCACCTCTGCATACTGATTCCTGAATTTTATAAACACATTAGATACTGTTCTATTCAAGGAGAAATTTGCAAAAGAATGTTTTCCCTTGATTTTGTAACTTTAAATACTGATTAGCTTCCCAATCTGCATATTCTTTGACTCACGGTATAATCATTTAGGATAAAACACTTGCCTGCTGGTTGTGGTTCATATAAAATTAACCACAGAAGGAGCTGTGAGTCACCATTTTGGTCAGAAGTATACATATTCCTGTCAACCACTAGTTGTCCTACAGAAATGTTATATTTCATGTATGTTACCCCATACTGTTAGAACTATTTCCACTAGGTTTTTAAATCCTTCCTTCTGTGGAGGGTAACAAATTCGGGGAAGACAGCACAATCTTCTTGAATGTAGCACTTAGGAATTCATTATTATATCTATTTCTGTAAAATTAGAATGACATCTTGCATGCAGTTATATTTTCTATTTAGTCCACATATTTTGGTTTTTCATAGTCTGCTTTTTCTAGCATGCTTGACTGAGGAGAGAATAAAGGGCTATATAATATAATGATTTCAGATTTGCAAATAGGATAATAATATTGTCTAGTTGAAATTCTGCATTACTTAGAGGAACTGATGCTTAATTTTTTTTTTTTTTTAAATCCCTAGTATGTCATAGCGACCCTATAGGACGGAGTAGAACTACCCCCATAGGGTCATTTAAAATATCAACCAACAGATGTTACCAAGGGAATGTGATTTTAGGAAATAGAATGTCACTGTTAATTTATCATATGATTTCCAAGAAGGGCTTTGTGTTTCTCACATAAAATTGGAATTGTGTACATTTAATCTTTCTAACTTGAATTTTAAGAGATACTGGTATTTTGAAAATGCAGACTATATATATATATTGTTAATATCCTTTTAAGAATATGGAGATAAAAATTGTTTTCTCCAATTTTTTGTTCCACTTAAAATTTAACTTTTGCATCCAGCCACAGACAAAATAATAATGTACTCTGGGTATAAACTTGGTTTTCTTTATTGAGGTGTATCATTTATTAAATGAGTGAACAAGAAAATTAGAAGACTGTCAAATTGAGTTGCCTTTTTTTTTAATTTGTAGGCAAAGTATATCAAATAATGATCTTTTTAATATGATAAACTGTGCTTTATCATTCTGAAAACTCAGGATACAGCTTACTCATATCATTGTGGGTCTCTCCAGTAAAAAGAATCAGTGGTAAAAGTTTTGTGTACACTAATTAGCTAAAACAAATAGTGTTTTGGAGAAAGTTAAAACTAGTTTTAGATTAAGGATGAAAAACTTGAGGGTTTTTTTTTTTTAATTTAAAGATAAAAGCATGTATGTTTTACACATTTTTAATGTTCACAACTTTTTCTCATAAAAGTACCAGACACTGTTTTGTGCTTTTGATGGAATTTTATTTATATATGTTATTTTTTATTATTTTTACTTTGAGTGGAATGTCCATTCATGTAAATTGTATTTATTTTTATACTTTAATTTTCACTAGTTTTGCTTCTAGGCAGAAGGCAAAATAAACTTTTCATCTTAAAGGAAATCTGGTTTGGTCTTTTTTATTTACCAAGGAAAGGACTATTAAAGGATAGATATTGAAAAGTATCTGGCCAAAACATAAATATTATAATTTTTTTTACAATTAAAAGTCACATGAAAAGTATATCCCACTATTTAATATAGACCCTATACCACTGCTCAGTCCAGCATTTGGGTTAGCATAAGCTGGACTTTTCAGGAGGCGAAAGTTCACTAGAGCTGGAAATGTCTTCGCTTCTCAAGAGCCAGATGTCTGCTAAGGGGCTAATGGGAAGTAGAGCTAGAAGGGAGAGAATGCTAAGGTTGAGACTCCCATTAAAGCTGCTAACTTGCATTGGGGAGCTTCACATCTATATGCTAGTGCTAAGAATCCTAATCTTGTTACTGCCTCATCATCTAATATGACCATAGTAAGATGCTCTCCAGTTTCATCTCTTATTGAGAGATGTTGCATTTGATAGTCTCATGGCAGCATGGGAAAGCACCTTGCTTTCCTGTGGCCACCCTCCAACTCCAGTTCACTTTAGATGTTGGAGAAACAGCAGATACACCTTGAAACTTAATTACTGAGCTGCAAACAGAAACCCTGGTGGTGTAGTGGTTAGTGCTATGGCTGCTAACCAAAAGGTTTGTAGTTTGAATCCACCAGGCGCTCCTTGGAAACTCTATGGGGCAGTTTTACTCGATCCTACAGGGTCGCTATGAGGCGGAATTGACTTGACCGCAGTGGGTTTGGTTTTTGGTTTTCTGGAGCTGAAAACTGGAGGACCTATTCTCGGAGTGGAGATTTTTTTTCTACCCAGTCGGGGGTTACTGTCCCATGAAGAGAACCCCAGGCCGCTACACCCAAATGAAAAGTGTTTTTGTTGTGTGCCCCTGAGTTGATTCTGACTCATAGCAACTGCCCCCATGGGGTTTCCTAGGCTGTAATCTTTACAGGAGCAGGTAGCTAGGTCTTTTCTCCCACGGAGTGGCTGAGCACTTTAACTGTTGTGCTACCAGTGCTCCTTAAATAAAAAGTAATAGTTATTAATACGCGAATGGAGTTGGAATGCTTTATCTCTGTGGAACCGTAGTGGGCATATATAGGTTATAAAATAATTTTTAAAAACAAAGGAGACCTTTAGTCATCCAATACAGCAAATCAAGCTGGGATATAGTGTGGTGCAGTCACATCCCTGGTCAGATTCTAATGATAGCTCTGAGGGCAAAAATCGTGTTTATCCAAAATTATACTTCACAATAAAATATTTCCTTTATTTTTTATCTGTTCTCTTCCTTCTTTGATCAGTGTTTCTCTATGGCCTTCTATTCCTCAATTTCTCAAGGACAATGATGAACTGTCACCAGAACCATGGTTTTGATTCTCAACCTAGGGTGGGGAAAATCCCTTAGTCATTCACATTTTTCATAAGTCTCAACAACCTGTTTCAGGATTACTTCCACTATCTGTTTAGTATACATGATATAAGGAGCCCTGGTGGTGCAGTAGTTAAGCACTAGGCTGCTACTGCTAACTGAAAGGTCAGTGGTTTGAACCCACCAGCTGCTCCGCAGTAGAAAGATGTGGTAGTCGGCTTCCATAAAGAATACAGCCTTGCTGGCCCCCCAACACCCTTTTAACTCAGTACTGAAGTCACTCCTGAGGTTCATCCTTCAGCCAAAGATTAGTCAGGCCTATAAAACAAACAATAACACACATAGTTCAACCATGTATACGAGACTAAATGAACACACCAGCCCTGGGCAAGGATGAGAAGACAGGAAGGGACAGGAAAGCTGGATGAATGGAAATGGGGAGCCACGGTCAAGAAACGGAGAGTGTTGACACGTCGTGGGGTGGGCAACCAATGTCACAAAACAGTATGTGTATTGTTTAATAAGAAACTAATTTGCTCTGTAAACGTTCACCTAAAGCACACACACACACACACAGACACTTTAAAAAGCAAAAAAGAAAAAGATTACAGCCTTGGAAATCCTATGAGGCAATTCTACTCTGTCCTATAGGGACACTATGAGTCGGAATCGACTCGAGGGCGATCACTTTTTTTTTGGGGGGGTGGTGGTTACATGTGATATAAAGGGTTTTGACAAACGAGTGCGACTGAATATGCTTGAAAGCACATGATATCTTTCTGCTCTACTGCCTCCCTGTGTTATTGGGTACCCCTGCACCACCCACAACTGCTATCATCCCTTTTGTATCCTAAGAGACCATGAGCAGCACCACCTGGCAGCTTGATAGAAATGCAGAATCTCAGTCCCCACCCAGACCTACTGAATAGAAACCGCATTTTCACAAGATCCCCAGGTAAGTCGTAAGCACAGTTAAGTGTGAGAAGCACTGCTTCATGGTATACCGTATAGTATACTGCCATGCAGAGAAAAGCTCTGAAAACAAAGATCACAGAAGATACATAGGATTCTTAACGGCTGCCTAATAATGTACAGCTACTATTGAGTGCTGACCATATGCCAGGCATTTTATAATCATCTCCTCTCACCTTAAAATCAGAATTATCCTCATTTAATGGATGAAGAAACTAGGATGCAGCCAGCTAAGCTACAAATTACCTAAGAGGGTTGAGTGTACATTTGAGAGTATATTCTACCACCTTTTCCAGTGGAGCTTGCTTGAGAATGTGGCTTTATGACCACTTCCTGTCAGTAAAGACACTTGAAAGTAAAAGGAATAAATTAGTAGTCACTGTGGTTTGGAGTCAAGAGTTCAAATCCCGGTTCATGCACTTATTAGCCTTGGAGCAAGTCACCTCCTTCCTTTAAGCTTCAGTTTCTACCTAATAGGTGATACTGGTATTTATTTCAAAGAGTCGTTATGAGGAGTAAATGCAGGGTGCATGCAAAGTGCTCAGCACAATGCCCGACACTCATAGTAAGCACTCAGTGAATGGTAGCTATTATGAAAATATCCTATGAATGCTTCTTAACATTCATCCATTTTTTAAAAAAGACAGGGAAAAGGGTAGAGCACGCAGGGTAAAGAGTAGAACACGCATGAGTTCTGTGGTCGAAATAATATCCACCTTCAGAGAAACATGCAGATTTGCCAAATGGGGTGACCCCATTTTTTCCATTGGGTTCCTATAAAAGGCGGTCAGTATGGAGCTAGGACAGCCCTAAAGAACCCAGGTTATTAGCAATGGGAGAGGGATACTGGAAGCGTCCAACTCTAATCAGGCACAGAGAAAAAAA